ATTTGCTCCCTATAGAAGCTAATATTGCTGCATATTCCCATTGAGGTGACAAGAATTAGCAAAATAGTGGTTCGGGCGCTTTTCAAAAATAGTACCGGACGCTGTTCCTCTTGTGACGTCATAGCTCCGTGACCTGACCTGACCCGGTCAAATTTCTTATACCATATGATAGCCAATACTTGCCCCAACATGCATGGGAAGTTTCATCACGATCCATCAACCGATGTTCGTACCACCGGCAGGAAACCTCGGGCGTTGGCACTCAGTTTGTGAAAATCCGGCCGGAGGCTGTACCTCTTATGACGTCATAACTCCGTGACCTGACATGACCCGATCAATTTTTTTTCGGCAAAAGATGCGCAAAGGTTGCCCCAGAGGGTATTGAAAATTTCAGCCCGCTACCACAAGCCGTTTAGCGTGCACTTCGAAAAAAACCTCAGGGGGGGGGGGTTGATACAACCCCCCCTAGGCGTTCTAGGGTTAACAGTTAGGGGGAAATTCTGCGGTGGTGTAAACGTATGTAAGGCCGGGAATTATCAGGTTCTGGTTGAGTGAGTGAATATGTGCAGCAAACCATCCCGTATTCATATTCATTGTGTGTACCCAAAGACGATGTATTAGATGTTATTATTGAGTAGTATTGGTACAGGTTTAGGTATGAGTATAGGCCTAAACCGTATAGGTATAGTCATTTACATTTGATAGCTTCGTGTCCCAATGCTATGTTTATTTCGGAGCTATTGAGCAGCACAATGCATATCGTCCTCCAACCTCGTTTTTTGTTTGTTGAGTAGTTGTTTTTAAGATCACGTCTGACCGCGGTCCGGCGGTATGTGCGCTGACCGGTGTCCTGTCCTCTCATCCCCCCGCGGTCGGCTGCTGATGGATGACGACCTGCATTGTAAGGCGGCCGTCGGGCGGGGACGGTCGGCCGGCCCGGCGGCCCGCCACGGTGGCATACAGTATTCAGCAGCGGTCCTCCTCCGGCGCCGCCCGGCAATCACCAACACTTTGCATGAGAGACAGCCATCGGGCGGGTCCGCTGCGTCCGGAGAGGAAGGCGGAGGACGGAGGATAGCAGAGATTTGCAGAGACGCCGGGTCACTGATGTGGCGGCGGGGCAGTGACTAGCTGCGGGAATCGAGGAATAGCGAGAAGCGTAGAGAAGCAGGGATGATATGAATCATTGTGGGACATCAGGAGCCACTTGATTTTTTTTTTGCATATAGTCTACAGGAAATCCCGATCAATAAACAAAGTCAGATAATTAATGACAAAGTCAGACACATTCATCTTCCGATTCTTCCACTAATAGCCAGCCTTGCAAAGATTGAACTTATCTTGCCAAACTGAGCTTTCGCACCTCTTCTTTCTCTCCGTTACACACCATCTAATTTGCTGTCTTTTTAACGGGATACTCTCCGAACCATCGTGCAGCCGAGGTCGGCTCCGCAGACAAATTGTCCGAAGGCCGCGCGGAAGCCGAGCAGAGCCGACGCCGTGCGCTCGCTCGTCGTGGCACACCCGACTGCCGCCGTCACTCGACGAGAAATGATTGAGTTTTGAAGGTCAGTCGAGTGAAATATGATCAAAAACGATAAAGGAGAGCATTGAAAGCCAGATTGCCGTGAAATATGTGTACCTATGGTATTTGCACCTTTTGATGGATGACTGTTAAATTATGCTGGAGCACAGTTTCTCTGAGAGACAAGCGTTTGACGCTGTGACGGCCCTTGCATTGTGCCATATCCGTAGTATTCTATAGGTGCAAAATTGAACACTACAACAACTAGCAACACCGTGGCCGTCAAGTTAAAAAGCAATAAACCATTTACCCGAGCAGCGTCTGTCTTGGTCGCTTGTCGATGCACGTACAAAAAGTTCTCTCACTCAATCAGCACAACTCCAGCGATTATCGGACGACTTCCAACCATTTCCGAAGCACCACAAGAAAATGCCCGTCAATCAAGATCCCCCATGATTGGCTCAATCGCTCATCGAGGCCAATAGGATATCTGACGTGCATTTACTGCCTGAGGAGGTGAGATAATTCTCACTGAAGGGGTGCTTTGCGTAGCTGGGAGCGGGGAGCGGTTGTTCGCACCAGAGGACCGCGGAACTGTTGACGCCCTCGCCGCTTTTCTCGGCTGGTGCCTTGGGACTGCAGCGACTGCAGCATAGGCAGCGGATTTGGCATCCAGACAGAAATGAGGTTTGAGATGGTTGCTCTGTCCTGGAAGATTTGATGGATTCAATGCTGGGAATGAAACGGTAAATTCCATCTGAAATTTGATGTGCATTATTATATGTAGTTGCCGTCCGCTGGGAGATTCGTGACTCCCCGCCAGTAAAGAGCATTATTTTTGCATCTAAACTATGGTAGTCTGTCCTCAGTTATGAGCATGACCAAAACCCTGTACACAGAACAGAGGTCTATGGCATGACCGATTTGCTTAAACCATTTAGGCAGCTCTTTCTGATGTAAAAGAAGCATTATGTTCAGTTTCACCTGAAATATTTCGCATTCATCAGCCGCGGCTATTCATTTAATTTATCTCGCACTATTTCCTTTAATTACCTATCCGAAGCCAATCTCATCCTTGCCGCTGACCCTGGCCGTCTAAATGAGAAACAGATAGAATTTCCTCCATCCAACACCAATACTGATATGAAACTAAACTACCCTCGCTATCCCCGTGTTTTAAAACGATAGCGTTTCACCAATATTACAGCCTGATCGGACATTCCCTATATCTGGGAGATAACTGTGGACAGTTCACCCCGTTGCAAGCGGAAATTGGCAGTGAAAGGCCTAGCATACGCCCGCACGGTTCGGAATGTTATTCATGTGCGTACATTCTGAAACAGGGTGACATTTAAGTCGAAAGCCCGGGTACTTTGGCCCTAGTAATTGCTTTCAGTGGGTGTTCACCGTTAAGCCTCTCTTTGATATTAAAACGGTGAAATTGCTTATGAGGTTATGTTACGTGGCCTTTTATTCTAATTTAATAATTTTCGATACTTGCAAATTCTAAAAATGTTTTGATCAGGCCTGTTTCACTAAAAACTTGCGATTACAAGTGTTTGAACTTTACAATTCATAAGTACTTTTGCACAGTGCTGCCAGATGGGGAAGGCTGTAATCCTCCAGATCAGTTACAAAAATCCTCCAGATTCCTCCAAATCCTATTGGTAGATATAGAAAGGCGGTCTTGGACGCTGCGGGGTGCAATACCCCCAAAAAAGTTTCACCAAATTCTAAAAACTCATCAGATTTCGAATCCTTTCGCACTGCTGTGCAGTTTTTTTTTTAAAGATACTTTTTCTTATAAAAGTTGTTTAGTTTTCGTTTTATCCTAAAAAAAAAGAAAATTTTCGTCGATTTCGGGCGCTGCAGGGGGGCCGGGGGCATTTGCCCCAAATGTCCCCCTCAGATCCGCCAGTAGTTTGGTACCCTCGTAGATATAGCTACAGACTGAGACATTCGGTGATAAAGGACGTGATATATCCTAACGGGTAGGGTGACGCTGGGCAGGAAAATGCCTTTTTAGTTTATTATTTTATTATATTTTCCATGAAATTGAATATAATAATCGGGCGACAAATCCTCCAGATTTTCCTCCAGAATAAAAAATCCTCCAAAAGCGAACTTTGTCCGCTCATTGAGTTCAAAATCCTCCAGATTTGCGGAAATCCTCCAAATCTGGCAGCGCTGCTTTTGCAAACTATGTAAAATCGGGTTTCACTAAACTTCATCACCAGCGGCACCTCCGATAAAAAGAGTTGGTAAATAAACTTGTAAACAATAAAATTGTTTTTAATCAAGAACTTTAACATGTTACAGATATTGATTCTTTTTATCAAACTATGTCTAGTTTTCATGTCAGAAATTGCAGGAATAAATTATAAATAATGATGCTGTTTCTGAGTGGTATAAATGATAGTTCAAAATATCTTATTATTGAAAGAAAATAACACGTAAAACATTTGACAGCAGAAGACTGTTGAATGCAATTATGGCGCGCGAATGACAAAACATGACGATATTTATTTATTGCTCGTAGCTGGTTCGTAGGGAATGTGCTAAGTGAAAAAGAGCATATAATGACTCAGCATATCATATTTGTTTTAAATAATTGATTGCTTTGCATCATTGCACAAAAAGTATCAAAATTCCGAACGTCAGGACCACTGGAATTTCAGGTTTGTAATTACGATGTTTTCTTTCAAGTTTCTGGTCTTCGTGAAACAGAAAGTTTGCGATTCCCGTGTTTTCTAGCAAACTTTTTCTTGTAAAAAAGTTTGCAAATTTTAAACTCAAAATTCATGCCCGAAGGTTTCGTGAAATCCAAATTTCAAATGTTGGTAATTATTTCTTTTAAACTCAAGTTTTTTTCTTTGTAATTACACACTTTATTTGTAGTGAAACAGGCCTGTGATCTGAAGAGATTTACGTGTCTCACAACCATTTCACAAGTGTTTTACATCTTCTACGTCTAAACTACTAACTCTTACCTTAGATCTGAGAAATCATTTTTTTAGTAGGTACTATATAGTTTTGCCTAATGCTTAAGTATGGAAGCTCATACGCTTAATTATCCTTGGCGTCACCAAAAACTGTTGTTTGTCCTGCTTTTCAAGCTGTCAGCATTCATTCTGCACTACGCAGGCGGAAGGTTTTTTTTTTCTTGAAATAGTCAATTCCTTGCGTGCTTTCTGCGATGTTGCATATTCGTTTATCCTTTTCCAAGTAACAAACAAATACATGCATGTAAATAATTACTAAGAAAAATGCAGAAACTGCTCAAATTACGTGGGCAGAGTTATATGTCATTATTTCCATAGAATTGTCGACCAGTGAACACGTCAATTTGCTCTAGTAATTAAAATGTAATGTATTTATAAATAAAACGTGGCGTATATAGATTTCCACATGTAACCGCGACAGCGCAATAGCTCCAACGCACCTGTAAAGAAGTCGTCTGCCCTAGCTTGTTTATTCACAGCCCGTTGCTGAGAGGCCAACACACCTGAGGGAGGCAACACACTGAGTCACCGTTGAGGTCCAACACTACACCCCTCCTCAGGTCAACACAGGGAGCTGCAGCACAGCCATTAAGTGATGTGGAGCTTGAGGCTCAACACTACACCCCTCCTCAGGTCCAACAACACAACACCAGCGGTGGCCGCGCACCTATATGGAGGGGGTTGAAGCGTGGCGAACCAGTGATTACTCGCAGCGCGAAATGTGGGCCGAACGAACATGCATGAGGAAGGCATGAGTACCACGTCTTCGAAAGCTATCCACAACAAAAGCAAAACAGAAAAGACGCTCCCTGAGATAACGCCGAACAGGATAACACCACCCGACAGCTTGGCCGCGCCAGTACGGCCGTGGCCGCCAATGCCGCGGCGAACAAAATCTGCGCTTCTTAAGTTATATGTGTGGGAAGGGAGGGGGGGGGGGGGGGCGGTGCCGCACGCTCAAGAGAGATCGTATTCCGCGAAGTGTGAGGGCAGCCGGCGAGCTCGGGCCGAGCGCCGGCTGGGCGGGGCGGCGGCGGTCGGCGGCGGCGGGGGCAGTTCCGCAGGCCTGGAGGTCTCGGCCGTAGCGTGTGGAGGGCCTGCCGCGCCGTTGACCGTGGCTGGGGGGGTAGGCCAGTCTGATCCCAGACGCGGTTCGTCGCTGTTGCCATGCAGCGTCAGTGGAAAGCGCTGCCGTTTGTAGTTGGGGCGCTGGGGACGGACGATCCGTTTAAACTTCTGCGAGTCCCTGGTGAGGGTAGATCCACCGCGGGTGGCGGTGATCTGCGTTCCCTTCATCTGGACGACCTTGTAGGGCTCTGGGTCGTAGCGTGAGGCCGTCTTGGTAGACCGGCGCTGCAGAAGAACCGTATCGCCTGTTTGAATGTTGTGAGGTCGCACGTTCTTGGGGGTGTCCTTGTAGGCCTTCTGTACATCCTTCGCCCGTGCGTCGTGTTTCTGCACGTCATGATACGGTGTTCCAGGTGTTGGCCTCTCAGCGGTCAGCAGCCGGGTGCGAAACGGCCGGTTGAAGAGCAGTTCCGCGGGGGGTTTCCCAGTGCTGGGGTGCGGTGTTGCGCGGTACTGTCGTAGGAGTTTGTACAACTCCTGTTTGGGATTTTTCCCTTCGATGCGGGACGTATGCCATGTTTTCTTTATGGTTTTCATAAAGGCCTCTGCAAGGCCATTTGCCTCTGGGTCTTCGGGGCTGACCCTGCGGTGCGTGAAGCCAGCCCAGCGCGCGTACATGGCGAAGTCGTGTCCGTTGAATGGGGGGCCACCGTCCGTTTTCACTGATTCCGGGATGCCGTGGGTTGCGAATATCTTGTCGAGGACGGGGATGGTCGCCAGCCCGCTAGTACTAGAAGTGATCTCTACTTCAGGATAGCGGCTGTACTCGTCGATGACGACCAGGAGGTGCTCTCCACTCGACAGAGGACCCCAGAAGTCTGCTGCCACCCTTTGCCATGGGCGTTCAGGCAAGGGGGTCGGTTTTAGCGGGTCTCTGGTTGGAGTGAACGTCGAGGCTTGACAAGCCAGACACTTGGAGATCTTCTCGTCGACGAGCGCGTCCAGATGAGGGAACCAGACTTGCGCTCGCAGCAGCCTTTTGCACCGGCCAACCCCCTGGTGGCCCTCGTGCGCGAGCTCAACCACCCGCTGTCGGAGGCTCCCAGCCCCAGGTTCAGGCTCAGATGCGGGGATGTAGAGCCTGTCTTCGCGTAGGAGAACTCCTCGATTGAAGCTAAACTCTCGGAAGATTTGGCGGAACGGGTCGAGGTCTGGGTCCCTAGTGATGTAGCCCTGCTGGATGCACTTGATCAGCTTTTGGCTCTGCGGGTCTCGCGCAGTCGCTTCTTGGACTTCCTTGATGTTGATGGCGTCCGGCGTGTCATCTGAGATGACCGCGTTGATGCAAATTTCATCATGACGGTACAGGATCATGTCGTCCAGCTGCGCTGCGTGGTACGAGGAGAGCGGCATCGGATGTCTCGAAGCGTAGTCGCATGGGTTCGCCTTCCCTGGAAGGTGTACCATCTGGTACTGGAACTCTTGGGTCTGCAGTTTGTGCCGCTCGACGCGAGCATTTCCTCGCCTTTTCCCATTGTAGACGGCGAGCAGGGGCTTGTGGTCCGTGACGGAGTCGAACCGTATTCCCAGCAGGTAGTGGCGATGGACGTTCATACCCCACGCCTGAGCCAGAGACTCTTTTTCGAATTGGCAGTATCTCTGTTCGCACGGCGTGAGTGAACGACTTGCGTGGTCGATCGGTATCCAGGTCCCATCGCTTGTGACCTGGAAAAGGCTGGCGGCGATGCCATCTGGTCCCGCGTCTGTGACGAGCTTGGTGGGCAGCTGGGGGTCGAACGGCCGCAAGGCCGTCTCACTTGTCATTGCTTTCAAGATGGCTTGGTACGCCTGTTCGCACTCCTTGCTCCAGATGAACCTGGCGTGCTTTCTTGTGAGTTCTCGCAAGGGTTTGGTCAGCTGAGCGTACGCTTGTTCAGAGTTGAACATGAAGCGCGCATTGTACTGGCAAGCTTGAAGGAAGCTGCGTACGTCGTCGGTGGTCTGTGGAGGTCCCGCTTCCCTGATCGCTTTGACCTTGCGGGGGTCGGCCGACATGCCGGACTTGGAGAAGACCCAGCCGAACCAGTTCACTTCTTCGGATCCGAAGGTGCACTTTTCCTTTCGCAGAGTTAGTCCTCTTTCTTTCAGTCTCTGGAGGCATGCGTCGAGGTTCGTGGCATGCTCCTCTGCGGTCTTGCCCCACACGAGGATGTTGTCGTGTATAGATGTACATCCCGTCAATCCGCGCAGGGTGGCACTGATGCGGTCGTGAAAGATGTCAGATGCTGGCGACGCTCCAAAGAACAGTACCTTGAAGCGGTGCAGGCCTTCGTGAGTGCGGAAGGCACCCATCTTTCTCGACTCCTCTGCCAGAGCCAGCTGGTGAAAACCGTGGCTCATGTCCAGTTCCGAGAAGACTCTCGCTCCTTCCAACATATGGCGCATCTCGGCGACGGTTGTCACATGTCGCGGCGTTCTCCGGATGGCTTTGTTGGGCTCCCTCATGTCGATGTTCATCCTGATTTTCCCAGCTTCTTTCTTCTCGGTGATGACGACATTGGAGATCCATGGACACTCTTCTTGTGGTCCGACGTCTTCGATTTTTCCTTCCGCTCGCAGCTCGGCTAGGTGAGCACTGAGACGCTCTTGGTAGGCCAGGGGAACAGGACGGTAGGGTGCGACGACTGGGGTCGCCTCCGGATCAATGTGGAAGGAGACTTCATCGTCCTTCAGGAGGCCTACTCCTTCGAATACCTTCTTGTGCTTATTGACGATTGCTGCGATCTTACGTCTGTCGTCGCCGGAAATATCCTGACTCGTGCATTTCTTGGCTTGCACTGTCACGCCAGCAGCTGCGAGGGTGTCGACGATTCCTGCCACGCCGACAACATGGCCGGGTGGCTCCCCCTCGCGAGCCGATCCGTCGGCGTCGATGTGGAGGATGCCAAGCGCCTTGGCGTCCGCGTCACCCAGAAGCGGCTCCGCTAAGTGTCCGCGGGCCGCCGCCGCCGCCGTCCGGGCCGCTCGGCGCGGCGCGGGCGCAGCGTCGGGCCGGCGATGTTCCGGGGAACGTCGGGTCCGACGGCGGTCCGTCGGTGTCGGCAGTCGTCGCGGCGCCGCGACCGAGGAGACCGGGACGAGCGGAGCGGTCGGGAGCACCGGGAGAGTCGCAGCAGGGAAGGAACAGGTGAGGAGGAAGGTGGGGGAGGGGAGAGCGAGCGAAGAAGGGGTCAGTATGATTATTACTTATTAGAAAAGGCGCGAGCCGTCGGTCTCGGGCTGAGAGGTAAACATAGTGACTGTTTAAATGAGATGCTGGGTGCATGCATCGGATAGCGCCGAGTGAGTTGTTGCTTTGATGTGTCTCTCGTTTGATGTGAAATGAAAGGACAGGTCGCTGGGTGACGCTTTGGTCGCTGCTTTGATACATTCTGGATGTACAACAATGCAGTGCAAATAGATAAAGATGAGCTGATGCGCAGCTTCCTTGCATATCACAGGAAAAAGTACTAACATCAGGTTATTTGTGCGCAATGATAAAGAGAAAAATAACTTGCATGCCTGGTCTTCGCAAGCTTTAATTAACCCGCGCGGGGCTGGGGGGGGGGTAAATTTTACCCCCCCTCGCGAATTTTTGCAATATCTCAAAAACGGCGGCGCGCAGCGCCGCCAAACTTTCAGTACCTTTTCTTACATCAATTTGGCACGTTCCCTGAAAATTTGAGCGAAATCCGTCGGAAAATTTTTGAGAAATTGACGTTTTAGTGACGTCATGTTCGCCATTTTCGCCTCAAAAACGGCAAAAGTTCAAACGCCGCTAACATCTTCATTTTTAAAGGAATCAAGACGTAACAAAAAAAGGATATACGTAATTTTACTTTGTCTATCAAATGGCTATCTCGGTTTTTTGAAAATTTTGGATTTTGGCCCTAATTTCTTCAAAAAACTGACTTTTTTGGGAAAATAGCTATAAAATCCAAAATTTTGAGTGTATCGAAAAAACCGGAATATATGTCAGAGAAGTGGTCTATGTGCACCTACATACCAAGTTTTAGAAGAATCGGTTCAAAAATGTGGGAGTTATTCAAAATTGTATGACGTCACGACACACAAAAAAATTGAAAAATGACTTTTTTTGGAAGTTCTAGACCTCGTACGGAAACAAAAATAGCACCATTCGATTCGCCGTGAAAAACTGCATCAGATAGACACCTTTTTAGGCCTTAACAACCAACTTCAAAATTTGACCTCACTTGACCTGACCTGACCTTGACCTTGACCTCTGAATGATATTGTATGCAACGAATATTGTCTTGGTAGCCTAAAAACACGTTTTGGGCGATCAGTCTCAGTCCATGACTCCATTCTTCGGCAACTACGGTGCAAGGCCGATACTGTAGGAACTTGCAATTTGTACCCTTGACCTGACCTTGACCTTGACCTCAAACTTAAAATTAAGTACATGTTTTTAGTTGTTCGTGATGAGATCTTTCGATTGGCGTTTGAATTTTCCAAATCGGACCATTAGTTCGGGAGATAACAGGGGGGGTAAAATTTACCCCCCCCCCCAGCCCCGCGCGTTCGGCTGGAGACCCCAGCCCCGCGCGGGTTAATATGCACGAGCCATTGTGAGTTGTAAAATAGCTAGTTCGCTCAAAGCGTTTCACCATTTATGCGCACAGAAAATGTTCTGTGACGGCAGTACAAATGGTCTGAGTTGTCTTTTTGTGTGTAGTTGCAGCTTGCAGCGAAGCCCTCAGCAACAGCTTCCAATACTGTTGTGAAAGGCATTGCAGAGGCGTCGTTTGGTCAACTCGTGTTTTGTGCGAGGCCGATGCCTTTACGATAGGGCCTACAAAGAAAACTGCGGCTAAATTTATCGAAGCTCTTTGGATCAATCGAGATGCTTGCTGGCAGATATAGTTGCTAAGGTGAATAAACCTGTAACATCGTTATTCGCCACAGCTCAGTCGACTATCCGAGACCGTAGCCCCGGGGCCATCGCTGACTTCTGCTGCCTTCAATCAGTAGAGACGTGCGCGGCGACTGAGTTAACAGATCAAAAACTTCCTTTTAGTGACCTATGCTTGTTCAGTCCGATGTTCGGAGTTTAATTGAGATTATGACGAGCCAGGTTTCTGTGAATGGGTATTGGGTGTTGGCCGGCGTTGACGGTGCGAAATAACGCGGCGAACGGTCGCTGGGTGGTGTAAATTGACCCGGGACGGTGGACGGGCACTAGGTGTGAATTAGTGCCAGTGGGTGGCACGGTTTTCCGATACTGTTCGATAGAGGGCTGCAGGTGCAGGTGCGCAGCAGTTACTGACTCTCTGTAGCGGTCCTGTCCCGTCTCGCCCCTCCCCGACCGGTGATCAATGGTCTCGCATGGTCTCGCCAAACACGCCACAGTTCACGGCGGGGCCGACCGTGTGAGCAGGTGGAGCCAGTCTGGTGGGTGTGTGTTCTATCACAAAGTGTTAACCCTCGCCGGCACAGGGGGGGGGGGGGTGATGCACCCCCCTAAGGCTTTTCTCGAATAACTCACGTAAAAAGTGACCGATCGCGACGAAACTTTCAGTACCCTCGCACTGATCAATTTTACAGCTACCCTGAAAATTTCATGACCCTGACCTAAATGACCTTTGACCTGTGACCTACTTTCCGAGACCATGTTTGGCCGGAGTCGCGATTCGGCGTATGTCGGCTCGCATCAGCCGCGCGTTTGCAAGCTTTTCGTGGTTTCAAACGTTCAAACATGTGATTTGATGTTGCTCCCATGCATTAGGGTGGATGTCAAGGTCACTTGAAGGTCAGGTCAGGTCATTGACCTTTGGTGACCTCGGTTCACTTTTTCGAGTTTTACATATTGCTAGGCTAATTTTTGGAGCTGAATTCGAATTTAGCAACTATTTGAACATTTACGAAGTAGTTTTGGTGCCATCGTAACATGTTACGAAGCTGTCTGTCAGAGGCGGTGTACTACGAATACCCGTCACGACCCCTACTGTTTGACCTGACCTGATCTGACCCGACCTGTTCTAAATGCTTCAAGACATCATCTGTGAGCAAAACTTGCACGATATTCGTGATCAGCACCCCGAAAAACCCCATAGCAGCCACACTTTACGCCTTTCTAACAGGTCCCGATTTTCCCATTTTTGGGTCATTGACCTGACCTGGAAGGTCAACCAATGACCTAGGGCCCTAAAATTTGGTATCATCGGCTTTGTCTCGTGACGGGCAGCACGCTCATTTTTTCCGCGAAGCTCTAGCTCGATCAGGGGACAAACGCGAGAGGGGGTATTACCAACATCATACTCAACATCCCGTGAGTCTTCGAAATCTATCACTCCCTAAGATATCAATGTGCAATAGTGTGCTTTCATATGTCGACGAATATAAGTATCTTGGATTCCACATTTCGAGCACACGAACCAAAGTGGACAATGTCGAGATTTGTCATCAGTACCGATCACTGTGTTGTCGTGCCAATTCATTGAGTCGTAAATTCGCTTTATGTACATATTCGGTTAAAAAGTATTTGTACAATGCATATTGTTCTAACATCAGCTACATGCATTTATAACACTCGTTTCATGCATCGGTTCTTCGGAAATTTAAAGTGTGTTTCAATAACGCTGCTAGAATGTTTTTAGGCTACCCTAAATACGAGTATTGTAGTGCCTCTGGAATGTTTGCGCAAGAACACATAGATGGCTTTGATGCGGCCTACCGCAGAGCTGTGTGGAATTTCATGTCGCGTTTGAAAAAGTCAGAAAACCGAATAATGTCTACACTGTATTACAGTGATATCGCCCACACATCTCCAATGCGTAAAGTGTGGACTGCAGCATTGTGTGGTTGTTGATCGCTGCTGATGTTGGTCATGTACCCATGTCATCTTCATACCGTCATCATCATATGATTGTCACGTCATCATCATTGTGTGTTACTTCTTATGGACCCAGAGTCTGCCAATAAAGGGATCTCTCTCTCTCTCTCTCTCTCTCTCTCTCTCTCTCTCTCTCTCTCTCTCTCTCTCTCTCTCTCTCTCTCTCTCTCTCTCTCTCTCTCTCTCTCTCTCTCTCTCTCTCTCTCTCTCTCTCTCTCTCTCTCTCTCTCTCAAAATGAAAACCACAGTGGACCACTATAACCATCAATGCGTAAAATCATGATCATCCAATTGCTTTACTATCCACAATACAAACTCCACCTCGCTGACGCAGAATTTCCTCTGCCAGCCATACTGAAACGCATTTAATGGACAGGTATCATCGAGATTAAAAGCAGTTCCCATGTAAAGACTTCCCAGGCTCTAATTTGGGCCACTGAAAGCTGTCACTGAGAAAGTCGCCCAGCATACCTGCGCCTCTATGGTAGCGAGCCACGAGACTTATGCGACGAGTTGGAATAGTCGAATATGTGGACTTTCGAGCAAAAGGTTTTGTTCGTTCGATATTTGGCTGATAAATTATGACATACTTATGCTTTGTTAAACTATAATGCGGTCAAAAATG